TGATTAAATTACATGATTATTTGAATGGGAAAGAAGACAAAGTGCATCATTTCTTGCCCTCAACTTTAATGCCTTTAATCAAATAATGACCTTCTGGAAATAGTTAATTTTAAGCATTTGGAAAGATCAATACCACTTTGCCACCAAAAAATGGCCCAGATGATGAAATTTGATGTATTTAAAGTACCATTTCACCCTTTTAACCTAGTAAATAATTTAAAATGCTTTCAGTACTCCTTTGCAACCATTATGTATCTCAGTCAAAGTATTATGACTTTTCCAAAAGCAACCTTTCTGTACAATGAGCAGCTCACAAGCCTCATACTAAGGCTAAGACATGCGTACATTGTGGTAGGGATGCCGACCTTTTTTCTTCTCTTTTATACACGGATTCTGTTTTGAAAAGAAGTGGAAATCTGTGCGATGAACGCAGCCCTTTGAAACAAGAATGAGATTTGTAAAGCAAGTTGGATGGCTTTTGAAGGGGAGAAGTCAGTGCTTAAAGTTTAGTTCATGAGTTCTTTTCCTTTGTTTTGTCTACAAGCTTTTGTGCTAAAGGTGAAGGATTTGGGTTGCTCAGACAATTAAGAGCCCATTTTACCAAGTGTAATTTCATATCAGTGTTCTATAAACTGGAGTGCCTTCAGCATTGTAAATAAAAAAAATTGCCCTCTATTAGCATGTTTGTGGGCAGATTAAAAACAGCCTTCATTAGCATAAGTAACACTTACAGATTCTTTTAAAAGTAGAAAATTATTTGCTGAAGGATAAATTGCTAGCTTTATAGTTAGTTGCTGAAAATGCGCTCATTCAAAATGCCTACTTTAGTTTAGTCTACAATGCTCATTTTTTGAGCTAGAAGTACTGTTTAATGGATTATGTACTTAGTCTTTGTTCCTAGTGGATGCTGAAATGCAATTCACACTTTCTGCTAAAATGTTTGTATCAAATACCTCCCTATTTAGACTGATTCTTTCTAACACTGTATATTTTTATTATACTATATGCCCCAGAGACTGATACAAAATAATTTCACTTATACCATACCAAAGAAAAACTATTCCTATCTTAGCAGTGATACTGTAAAATGTTTTGCCTTTTTAGATTCAAATTGCAGCTTTTTTTAAAAAAAACGTTTGATTCCTTGTTAGTTATACTGTAAGAAATATTCATCATTTAGGAAATTATCATCGGTAGAACAAATGCACCGAACAAAAGAGTTCAGTTGCTCCACCTTGAAGCCCTTTCTTTCCAGGCTGGATATATTTGATGCCGATTTGGGAGGCTTTGCCCAGAGAACATCTTTAATGACTGTAATGCTGCCCTCTTTGATCTAGTTAGAATTGGTCTTTACACTTTAAGTGCAGATTTAAATGATTTAAATCTTTTTTGTGTGTGTATGTGTGTGTTTAATAAGAACGCTACAGGAAACCTGGAGTGGTTTGTTAGAAACTCTGAAGGAAAGTAGGAGAGAGCAGAACATTTTATTTAAACACAGCACCGTGTAGAGTGCCTGAATAAAATATCCATTGGATATATAGATAAAATGGAGATATGCTTGCTTTAAAATAAGCTGGTGGGCCTTGCAGATACTAGTGTTTGTTGGTTATCCTCTTTGCGCTTTTCCTGCAATGGTTTGGCAGTTCATTTTTTTTTCCTCTAATGTCTTATGTTTCTTTACTAAATCCTCATCAGAAAACCAGACAGAAGACTCTTATTTATTTTAAATATCTTAGGTTTAGCATCTTTTTTTTTTTCACCATTTCTTGCTTACTGTAGCAAGACCTTTGCAGATGGTACTTGGTTACTTGAAAGTGCATAACAGTATTTTCTTTGTAGCAGATGGATTTAAGACTTTTAGTTCCCAATAAATGTAGGTTTACAATACATAACTTTACAGGATTTGTGTTGTATATAACAGGTTTGAACATATTATCTCAGAATTCATCTGCATGGCATTTTCAGCTTACCCAGGGCCCATGCCAGTATTTTAAGTAACGGGGAGAGCATAGTGATTGATAGCAGCTAAAGGCGTGATTTTGAATAGAAACAAAGGGTTTAGAACAGAAGGTGTCAAATTAAACTTTGTCAGTTTGAAAAGTAGTAACATCCTGAAAGTTCTACAAACATATTTACATGTGGCTAATGTTTATATTTTGCTTTGTACTCTCTTTATATTCAGTGTAATGTTGCCTGGCAAATTTGCTGTGTTTTAAAATTAAGGTTGTTCCCAATGTCACTGCCGAGTTTGAGGGGTTTGCCTTGCTGCATATCAGCCTAATTATTGCAAGGCTGTTTTTAACAATTTGCTGYATGCACTGTACAAACTGATTGTGATCTAATTGGGGCTATAAACATTTCTTTATAATCTTAACRCTTTTTTCCTCTTCTTGTAAGATTATAAACACATGAAAATACAGTGGTTCAAGCCTTCTTTTGGTTACACTGATCTTGTTAAATCAGAAATAAATCATGTGMATTTGACAGAATTTGCTCTAGATTTAAGTTTGAGTGTAAGAGCACAAAATTCAGCCCTGTTAGGTTCATGTGCAAATTAAAGTACATTAGCTACAGAACTTAAAACTTCTTTAGATGAAATAGAAACAAACCTTACAAATTTTACAGAACTTAAAAATCACAGTGAGAAAGTCTGCTTGATTATTTATGCTGGAAGATACAAAACCATTTCAGACATTCTCATAAAGAATTAGAAGTAGTACTTCAGTGCAAAGGTTCATAGCACACTACTGTAGATGTAATGTTAGTTATCTGAAATTAATAAAAATAAAGTCCACTCTACTAAGTAAATAAACACAGAAAAGACTATATGGTGGGGAGAAATTCCTTAGGTGATGAAAGCTGTTGTTGTGAAATAGATGTTCAATCAGCGCAAAATGTGATCGCTGGGGAATTATTACTATTACTGAGCATTTTAAAAGAGTTTCTACTGTCTTTCTCCAAAGAACATCTGTGATGCACATGGCCACCGGACAGTGTATGTGCAGCGTCTGAACGGATGTTGTAMTTTCTTTGTCAGTCTGTGTGTATACCTTGGAGAGCTGTAATGGGAGGGGACAGGTTGTCTCTCATCGTGTTTTACTTATCTGGCTGCTGGGGTAGTCAGCTCCGCTCTCTGGTTTAGCAGCCTTAGAAAGAGGGCCTGCTGTGAAGMGGTGCAGGCCCCAGATATCCAAAGGACACCTGTTATGCTTTGGGGTAGGGTGGGTTTTTCTTTAATTAAAGTTTTTGTAACTGTATTTTAATGCAAAGATCTTGGTTTGATTCTTCTCCCCTTTCCCTCCACGCTTTCTGATTGCATCTATTTAACTTATTGCAGRAAACTAGCACTACCATTGAGCATAATCCCACCCTTTTTTCCCCATGGAAGCACATGAGCAGAAGATGGCAAGAGTCTCGTGCTGATTCTGTAGGTGCAGTGATGATCTGTGCCTTAACCTGCTCATGTAACCCATGACATCTTGCATCGTATGTGCTCTATGTGAAGGCCTTTGGGCGCCCTTCTTTGCCCCCTTCCATACGAGAGCCCTTGTAGGACAATGTGCAGTGTCTGCCATGGCACCCTGGGGACACAGGGTCCCCCTGGGCCTTGCTGCTCCTTGCTCCTTGCTGCTGCTCCCTCTCTGCTGCTATCGAGCACCAGCCCAAGCGGCGCCCATTGCGCTCTTGCTCTCCACTCTACTACCACCTTCTCTCTAACATTTGTCATTTTGATTATTTCTGTTTCTCGGGGGCATTTTCTCCTGTGTCATTTGCTCCATTTCCCACTTATATCTGAGAGCATATATTTTAAATTTTTATGCACACCTCACTAAATATTTTCTTATACAATATGAATGAATTAAGATTATTTGTTTACTTTCACCTCTTCCTGTTATGGTGATATTTTTACACTGCATTTATTAACTGCTAGCTAAAGATATGAGTGTTCTCAAGAAAATTTGTATCATATCTCTGCTGTATCTGTATATCCAGTAATAGAACTAGTCCAGATAAACCATTTTTAAACTACTACTGCGTTTGAAAAGGATCTAAAAGCTTCTGTACATTTATGTTATTTGTTGGCTCAATAAAATGTCACATTATCTTTCCTACAGCATTAAGAAATAAAATTGCATGGACACAGTTTTGAAAACAGATCCTTGAAGCTAAGGAAAGAAATAAGCATGTTGTATGCATGTAATATTCTGTGTTTCTGTAATTTTGTATGTCACCCCTTCCTCAGAACCCACCTGGGTGTGGGTTTGAGGATTTGCGCTCCCAGGCAGCGCGTGGGACTGGAAATGGTGCAAGGGCAGCCCCAAAACCCACACGTGGTTCATCCCCGCCGACCCCTCACAGCACGAGATCTGTGAGAAAAAGCCAGAAACAGATCAAGATCTCTCACGTGAAATAAGCTCACGTGCACCTCTGCTCGTGGCAGGGAGGAAGCAGATATCACTTTTTAGTGCCTGGTCACAAGATGCCTTTGTTTTAACAGGCATTAGGGAAGCCTCTCTGTTGTGGTGATTTATAGTAGGCCGCTCTGCAGTCAGGGCAGGTATTTGAAGTACTTCCTTATTTTCAGTAAGGAAAACTGGAGTACCAGAATTTTTTAAATGCCTAGAAGACAGCCTACCAGCTCCTGAAACCCAGTGTTGAGGCTCACAGGTGGATGTCGGCTTGCATGAAAGAAAACAGGCAAAAGGGAATTGGAGCGGCTAAGGGATTCTGCCGTGATCAATAGGTGTTTTCTGAACAAGCTACCCAGCACCAACAAAAATCGTGCTTTCCCAAAGGCCCACATTTTGCAGGAGTCTGGGAAATAGCATGGCAGCCTCTTGGTGTATTGATGTTTGCTTTAAACCCTGCGTGGATTGAGAAAGTCATTTGTGACCTGGGGAGAGTGTGCGGGGATGTGGCATTGTTCAAGTGCGCTTTTCACCCTCTTTTGTCCCTGCGGAAGGGAGAGAAACTAATATTTTGCTGGTGTTATCTTCAAGGGGTGGCTCTGTGAGCTGTTACGTTGGAAAGAAGATCCCTCACCAGAGAACAGGACCCTCTGGGAGAATCTCTCCATGATCCGAAGGTTCCTCAGTCTTCCTCAGCCTGAACGAGATGCCATTTATGAACAAGAAAGCAATGCAGTTCATCACCATGGTGACAGGCCTTCCCACATTATCCATGTTCCAGCAGAACAGATTCAGGTTAGTTTACCTTGGCCAATCCAGCAGAGCACTAAGTAAATAAAGCTTTAAACGTAGCAAAGGAAATTAGTGTTTCTTTCCTCCTGGCCAGACTAAATACAGGTCTCCTCGTAGCGAGAGATAGCGACGTGCTGCCATCCGCCGCCGGCCCTGGCCGGAGAGGCAGGTGGCCACCCACGTCTTTGCTTCAGTTTGGTTTCATCAAGGCAGCATTGTGGCTTGTGTGCACCTGCTTGGTGGTGGAGAAACAGTTGCCTGTGTTAGCAGTCCATAGCTAGCACTGAATCACAGAATTACTTGGCACTGTTCTTCAAATATGTTACTGACAAAGTGGGAGGAAATGGTTGTGCTGTCGCCCAAAGCCTTAAGTACAGCCAAAAATGCTCGAGAGCCGTGGTTCACCTCAGGTAGGAGTGAAGGGAAGGGGGCCCAACCTGAATCCTCATCCCACTTTAACCGCAGCTGAGACCTGGGATGAGTCAATGTTTGTTTGTTTTTCCTTTAGAGCCCCTCTCCCACCACCCTTGGGAAAGGAGAGCATAGAGGCGCTTTCTTACCAGGCCTGCTGACCACTGGACCGTGGCTGGGTGCTGCTCCGCAGGTGAGCGGGCACGAGTTCAACGGGGCAGGGAGAGGAGCCGGGGCTTGCAGGACCYACCCCACGTCCCACCTTGCATCCCAGAGCAGCTGTGGCAGGTCCTCCTTGTTTGGGGACGGGTGACCTCTCCGCTCACACAGTAGCCACGTGCACGACCAAGGTGGCCCACGATCTCAGAGCACGACTGGCTGTTATTTTCGGCAGCGGCGGGTGGCTTGGCAGGGTGGACTGCTCTCTCTCCCAGCCCAAGACTCTTGAATCCCTTCCCACTAAAGACCTGAGGTSAGCCTTTTATCGGCTCCCTCTTAAAGGGCAAAAATTACCCATTTGGGGCTTTTCAGAGTCTCCAGCCTCAGCAGAAACCTAGGGTATCACTTGTACTACCTGTATAGAAGAGTATTTACAAGGCTAGGAGGAGCAGAGTTATCTAGCCGCCAGAAACAACACGAGTGTATATTAAAGATAAAACAAACTGAATAAGACAATCCCTTAGGATATCAAGTACTAAAATAATTGCAAAAGGCTGGAAACTTGCTGTTTGATTTAGCAAAAAGAGWGAGAAAGATCTATATTAAGTAATAAAACAGCACTTGTTTGAAAATGTACATTGTTTTTAATAAAATCACTTCTTAAGGGGATAAAAGGAGAAGCTTAAGCGCAGTATAATCATTCCACCACTATGCCACTTACTTAGATTTTCTTGCCTTGTTGATAAGTTGTGTGTTTGATCTTGCAAATATTATTCACATAAGCAGTTGCATTGTAATCTCTTAATAKGACTTGTAAGAGTAAGGATTGGGAGATTGGACCTGAGTTTTGCCTATGCTCTTCTACACTGTAATTCTTGCAGATGCATAAATGTGTAGTTAAGACACAAGTTTCCAACTGTATATACAAAGCCTYGAGTCTTGTAAGAATTTTATGTGCTGGGAGTAGAGTCTTGAGTCTCTTTGGGATTGCTTGAATGGGACTGCTCACACACCATAAAACATGAATGTGTGTGAATAAGGATAAGAGCCCTAATTCCACCGGCATTTGTGTCTGATTTTACAATAATAAGATCAGTCAGAGCAGTGGCTCCTGAAGTGCATGTTGAGACCTGTGTGATGTCTCTGCAACTACAAGTGGCACTGCAGACTGGACAGAAATACAATTCATCCAATATTTATGCTGTTCATGCAATAATTTGTGCTGTTTAGGGTCTGCAAGTGAGCTGCCAGTGGAAGCTTGGGAGCCACGAGTGACTGACACATACAAAACTGTCAAGGGGATGCTCACAAAGGGAAATGAAATCTAGTGATAGCAACTGCTTGTTTTGCTACTGTTGTTTGTTAATAATAACTGGTGGTTTGTACCATATGACATGAAATTTGCTGATCCAAACTATCTTACTAACCAGTGCTTCCTGTGCTGTAAAGCAAAAGAATTGTCAACAAAAACAGTTGCAGATAAATGTACTTTTGATTTTAAACATGATCTTATAATGTACTCGACTGGAGAATGAGAAAAACATTTCTGTCCCTAGGGCTTAGTGCCTCACCTTTCAAGAATGTTTCTGAATCTATGCTTGCAAAACTTCATTTTAAGCTCTTGTTAATTATTTACATTGTGATTTGCTTTATCTTATTCTTCTGATGTGCATACTGGCTCATTTTTATTGCTTGAATTTTTGGAATGCAGCATGTTCCCTTCTAATAATAATAGTGAAACTTATTTAGAGCTTTTCATCTTAGTGCTTTATAAATATTAACTAAATAATCCCCAGTGCAAACACTGAGGCAGGTAAATATGTTTGTTCCCTGCTTTTGTATTGGGGTAGTTGGACAGAGGCAAGGCAGACATGCTCCAAAACCACAGGCAAGATGGGCCAGAGCCAGAACTGGAAATAAAGAATTCCTACCTCCGGATCTCTTTGTCCTTGCCGAGACGGGCTTTAACAGCATGGCGTTAGACGCTGCCCACTAACTCACTCTGTCATAATATTTTCAAGTTTGACGAGACTGCGGTGCCTGCTAAGGTCAGATGGGTAGTGGGGTATTTTAGCACTTAGCTAAAAAGCTCCCCGTTCCCCCCGCTTCCTTGGTCTAGCCATTGCTAGAGATTTGCAGCCCTTGTTTTTGGGCAGCAGCTGCTGCTGCTGGCAGAGCTCCTGTGTGTTTGCCCTCATCTGGCACTTTTCTCACTTTGCCCTTGCTACAGTTCTGGCTAAGCTGGTCAAGTTAATCCTATACTATGTCACCTACTTAGCATTTTGTCTTGTCTGCACTTGACTCATGGAGCATRTTCATTAAAATTTGTTAGCAAAACCACACTGATACCACGTCATCTGCGTTTTCAGTTAGACAAAGCCCGACTGTTCCACCTCTCTGCCTGTATCCCACTTTTCCATTTATCCCCAGCCTCTGTTTACACACATACAGACACATGCAAGATACTCAGGGAGTTACTAATTCATATTTTAATTCTGGTTCTCCTCAGTATCAGCAATAATGAGTCCTTTTATTTTTTTGTTTTCTAACTTACTGAGCCTTTGTTTGTAGCTTTGCAAATTTTTCTCAGGATTTGCTTGGTGACACAAAAAACAAACCACATTGCATGTACGAGAAATGATGTGCTTTGTCTTGCAGCAGCAGCAGCAGCAACAGCAGCAGCAGCAACAGCAGCAGCAACAGCAACAGCAGCCAGGTCCCAGGCTACCCCCAAGGCAACCGACAGTAGCATCACCAGCTGAATCTGAGGATGAAAATCGCCAGAAACCGCGGCCGCGAACAAAGATTTCCGTGGAAGCCCTCGGGATCCTACAGAGCTTCATACAAGACGTAGGCCTGTATCCAGATGAAGAAGCAATCCAGACTCTCTCCGCCCAGCTTGACCTACCCAAGTACACCATTATCAAGTTCTTTCAGAACCAGCGATACTATCTCAAGCACCACGGGAAGCTGAAGGACAATTCTGGGTTGGAGGTGGATGTGGCAGAATACAAGGAGGAAGAGTTGCTCAAGGATTTAGAAGACAGCATCCAAGACAAAAATGCAAACACGCTTTTCTCAGTTAAATTAGAAGAAGAATTATCGGTAGAAGGGAACACAGAGATTAATGCAGAATTAAAAGACTGATCTGAAAGTATTATTTTCATTCAACAGTGCCACTGGTATTTAGTAATGAAATGAAAATTCCATCTTGCGTTCTGTCAAAAACCTTTATTATTCATTGTTTGGCCAATGAATCTTCCAAAACTTGCACAAAAATTGAAAAAAAGGATAATGCAGACTGCACTAGATGTTTTACTCTGTTTTACAAACTGCTTCGCAGCAACAGATGAAGCGTTGAGGATTGTTTGATATTAATTTGTGTTCACTGGATACACTGTGAGTGTACCCAATAAGCATGATACCAGTGATTTTGATTCTGGAGCCTTCAGACAAGCATTACAACTTTTGTGATTTACTGTTTTTTGTTTCTGTTTCGTTCCTKTTTTTTAATTATTACTGTAGCACTCCACACTTGATCTTTGGAAACTCACATTTATTTAAAAAAATAAAATAAAAAGAGTTTGTTACTCTTGTTCTATTGTATGTTACAAAAGAACTATAGACTGTGGAATGCAGTTTAAAGATAACATATGCCAACAAATGCCTTGTATTATATGGCACTGCCGTAATTCAGATTTGTTTTCTTTTGGAAATAAAGGTCACTGTATTTTTTTTCCATTCTCATTGTTACATGGTTTTAAAGAAAATGAAAAAGAAAATGTGAAACACAATTTAGTCCTCATTATTTATTTGTAGAACCTGCAGCATCATGTTGTAATTAATTTTTTTGGAAGTTTCCGTTAAATGTAATATTGCTTCTCTTGTTATCATACTGATTTTTTTTCTATTTATAAATGTATTTTGATGGGCAGTAAAACAAAGTGTCTTAAAAGTTTTAAATAGAGAAAATGTGCTTTACACAGTTGCCTATAAAAAGTGCTCTATGTTATCCAAGCAATTCATACTATAAGCTTCACTCTTATTGTTGTATGCAATTTTTACTATCATGCAAATAAGCTTAGGTAAATAAAACTAATAGATCACCTTAGAAACTTATGCAATTAATGTGAAAATAATTGATGTTTGCAATGTGTCTTCCTTTGGTTTACAATCAATTTTAAAGCTACAGCTGTATAAATTTTCTGTATAAAGGTGTATTTCTTTTTTATGAGTTTATTGCTATGAAAACACCAGTTATTTTGTTACAGCTGGCTGTTTTTATAAGTGTATCACAATTTTCTTTATGCAGAAATGTTCTGACTAGGAGTGGTTATTGACTGTAACTACACAATTAAAATTGTTTGTATGGTATGATATGGCAGGGTTTGTCCGCGTATGTGTGTGTTCTGGGAGGAATAWCTTGTTCCTAGTGCACATTGTACCTTCTTGCCACCACTTTGAAGATGACATTTCAATTGCTCACTTTTAAAATCACAAACAGACTTGTTTTAATGACCACCTTAAAATTTGAATTTAGATAACATACTTCAAAAGGAAACACAGTTTGGTTATGAAGAGCATAACCTGTCTTTTCTTGCTTTAAAAACTTGCCTGCCCAACAGAGATAGCAGGATATTAYTGAGTCAAAAGGCTATCAGGCATAAACATATTTACAGTTCCTGGCAGTAATGCACTTATAATGGATACAGCTGGTTTTATTTTACACTGGAATTATGCTAACACCATTCCTTACACTAATGTAGAAACATTAAAAAAAAAGCATTAATAGTCACAAAGTAAATAGGAAAGATGGGCTTTGCATACCGCAGCCCCCTTCTGAGCAAGATTATTTTTAATGATCACTAATAAGGTTGTTGATAAAGCCATATTAAATGGTGAGCTCAGAATTTATGCAAAACTCACGTCTAGGCTGGAGAGCGCCATGGCTCCAAGTTGTGAGCACTTGCTCACTTTGCTTAGGGCAGAAAAGCCTGAAAGGCAGCGTGGCCCTGCTTTTAACATGAGATGCAGATGCCCTCATTCTAAAGGAGTAGAAGTCTGAAGAGTGTCATCAAGATGAGCTTCAAAGTGGTGCCTTAGATTCCTAAAAATGTCTCCTTTTAGGTCTATTGATTTCTTTAAGAGGATCCACAGTAGGTGGCAAAACTGGTGTTCACTCTGTGGATGTAAAATCACCCCAACTTGCAAGGTCCCTTATCCCGGTGCCSCCCATTCCAAGGCACAGCACCCGTGGGTGCTCAGAGGGCTGTGCAGGAACCTCTCACTCGGACCTGGGATCCAGTCCAACTTGAGCCCCAAAAAGTGTCTTTCTGCCACGTTGGGAGGGAAATAAGCCTTGTGAGGGAGAGGCAGCACAATCTGGTATTGTGGTGCATGGAAAGGATCTTGCAGACAGGGCTGGAATAGCTGAAAATCTACTGGCAGCTCAAATCTGCACTGGTTGCACAACTGAGGCCAAGACCAGGGTGTCCTCTGTGATATCCCTGGAGCCCTCTACTTGTCCCAGGGGGGATCCTGCTTGGAATTAGAAGGGCTCCCTGTTCGCAGCTGAGTGTCAGGACCAGCCCTGGCTGAAGCCACATGGGTTAAAAAAAAACCCACCCACCATTTTAACTTGATATGTGTGTACGTGCTCTGACAAGTGGGGTCGGAAAAAGAGGGAAGAATTTCCTGCCCTATATATCTCTCCACCTTGAAAGCTAAGTCATACAGCATTTCTAATGCCAGAAACAGGACCAACAAGTACAACACCCTATAAAAGCAGAAGACCAAAACTACAGAAATGTTTATAAAATGATCTGTGCTATTTTGAATGCAATTTCCTTTTCTTTTATCCCTTTAAGTTTTACAGACACTGATGTAGAGGCCATGTGATGTTGCTGTAGCTGTTTCTTTTCCATTATCGCTGTGTTCTCTTCTGGCCTTGCTGAGGCCTTCCTTCAAGTCACTCAGCCTCTGCAGTCACACATAGGTGCCCCTCCAAATACAAGTGTGTTTTTATGTATAGCAAGCAGGCTACAAGAACAGTCTTTTACCTTGGTCTAAGTGACCCATAGTAACTTTATTAGACCCCGAGCAGCATTTTCGAGTGTAAAATATGGATTTAGGATCCGGGCATTATAAGAATGCAAGAGATTTGCCATAAGGACTTAGACTACTACAAACATATGTCACCTCGACTCACAGACCCAGACAGTCTACCTGGAAAATACCTTATGTCCTTTAGTGTTCCTATTTCATACCATCTGCTATAATACTGTAAAATTATTTTCAATTTCTGCAAAAATTAAGAAATTAGACTGGACTTGTATAACATAAACTAGGGATCTTTCTAAACATGACACAAACTGAGGCCCCAAAATGCTCTTAGTTGTGGAGCTACTAGTAGAACTTATCAGTTAGTAGGAAAGAACATGAAAGGGGTATGTTTTATATATACCTAGGAAAATATGTGGAAAGAATACTGTTACTAGGAACAGAAAGTAAACTGTAAAGAAAGCCACATGCCTAGAAAAGAGGGAACCACGTGGGGATGGCAAGATTGAGTTCTTCCTGTAAACTGGGAGTATTTACCATGTTTTATGGTGTGTGCCATAAGAAGCAGAGTATTTTACTGTATTCTGATTCCCATTAATCTATATGTAAGTGACAAAATTTATGAGTATATGATAAAGCACATGTCTGCAGCTTGCCTTTTCTAAAATACAACCAAAGATGGCCCAGACTCCCAGAAGACCGCAGCCCTGGGGCAGTCTGAAGCCCCAGTCACACATGCTTATCATTATAAAGACCCCCTACCCTGCAATACAAGATTTCTAAATTTGTTTTTCATTTAGCTACTTTAAAATGGTTAAGCGATGCAGAAAAAAATGTTTTCAAGTAAATTTTTTAAGTAAATTATTCTGCCTTTCTTTTTTCCCTAAGATTGGAAGGTGCAGCCAGTGGGGAAGGGAATGATTTGAACAGCGGCACACTGAGTCAGTATTTTGATTGTGAGCTGGGAAAGCACCAATACTGCTACCAGGTCCATTTGCCAACACAAATGCTCCAGACGTTAAGAAGTCCTACTGTAGATTAGATACCACAAAAAGTCTGCTTGAGCATCAAGTATTAACATTTCTGCTTAGCTTATTGAGTGTGTGGTTTCATGTGAGGCCCATTGCAGGCACCAAAGGCTTTCTGATTTTACATAATGATTTATATTGTGCTTTGAGTCCCATTGCAAAGCAGGGATATAAATACACTCCCAGGCCCTTTTTTGCACACAGATGTAATTTTAGCTTGTTCTTCTTACAGCACCTTGTGTCCACACAGCCCTTTCCTACAGCAAATGAGCCTATAACTCACACTGCAATCAGTGATCCTCCTTGGAGCAGGAGCAGTGCTACTTGGCAGCCGGTCTGTTTGTGTGGGGTTCATGGGGAACTCTTCCCACAGGTCCCACTCCTGGCGAGCTCCCTGCACTTCCATGCAGCCTCGTTTCACGTAGACCTGACTAGCATGTCCTTCCTAGGCCAGGTCATCTGGCCTACATGGCCTCTCCACATTTCACATGTGAGTGAGTGCTCAGACGGAGGTACCCTGTGTTGGTATGAAGCAGGAAGGATGGATTATACCTAGTGTCACACAGGTTTTATAGTTGTCACTTACACCAGGAGCCCAGCAGAAGAATGCCTTGAATTTGAGTTCAAGGAGGTCCTTCCTTTGGGAGGAAAGAGCCTTATGTCAGCAGCGCATTCACCAAGGGACAGGTCTGCTGGAGCAGGCCTATGGTCCCAAAAAGGAGTCAGGAAAATAAAACAGGAAGGACCCCAGCTGAGATATTTAAGGACAGAGAAGGACAGGAGTATCACACTTTAGTTCAAAGATAGATCCAGCCTAAATCTGATCCTCGAATGGAGGAACATGCTCATTCTGATGTAGTGGTAGACAGGAATACCTCAAAGTACTTCAAGACCTATAAAAAAATGTATTGACTCCACATGTACAATCATTTATAGTCACCATGAAATTTCCATAGGCAGACAAGATCTAGGATGACACAAAAACCTCCTCTGCTGTCCAGGGCAATGGAGGTCCCCTAGCAGCACGTGCTCTGCTACCATCGCCGACACTGGGCACTCAGGTGCAGACTGACAGCTGCCATGCGAGGTGAAGTCAGGATTCTTTCCACATCCTTACCCACATGACCCACACAGCAGTGTGCAGACTGTAAAAAGAATCTCATTTTTCTGCAGGATCACATCCCACCACCACCAGCACATGTGCAAATCCATTTCTCTGAGCTGTCTCCTGCAGCCCAACTCCTCCTCACACCAGATGTGCCACAGGAGTTAGAAAATTCAAATGTGTTGTATGGCCCAGATGTTTTTCATAGTGTAATAGAATAGGAAAAAGCATTACATCTGTTGTCTAACACAATTATATAAAAGTACTCAGTTTAGGGGCAAATAAGTTGCCCCAAGCAGGTTTCTGAGAGCTATTTCAGGCTGCTATAGCCATCTTAAAGCATTATTTGCAATGCTTTGAAATTGTCAGGGTCAGAAAAATTCATGCAGAATCCTACTGTCTTTGCAATGGGTTTTCTTCCAAGGCAGTGTTTAAAGAAAAGCTACTCTGCTATGTAGTTCAAAAGTTGCAAAATAAGTAACCTTTGCAAGACCAACCTTATCAGCGTTATAGCGTCTTAATTAAATTACATGGGATAGAGCAGTGGTCTACAGCTCTGCATCCCTGCTTGCCCCATTTTCATGGGCTTCCTGGCACCTACTAACCTCTACAATGGCCTATCAATCTTTACACTACCATTCTCAGTCTAAACACAGCCCTTCACATTCCCCCAGCTCACCAATACTTTTGTATGGGAAAAACAATTTGGAAAACATCTTATCTCAGAGCAAACCTCGGAGGTGAAAGGTAGATGAGAATGTCCTCTCAAAAGTGTTGGAGAAGAGATGCTTTATCATTATCAGCATGACAGCTGGTACTGGGAAATAAGGCCAGATCTTTCACATACACCAGTATA